CTTAACTTTCTTTCCCCCCCCCCCCCCAGAGGATTCACTGCAAAATTTAAAACAAAATAGTGTTTCTTTATAGTCTATTGTTGATGCTTCTCTGATGGACCTCATAGCTCTGAGGAGACAGTATTTCCAAAGCAGTATTTCCCAATAAGGAAGCACAAGTGTTTGTAGGAATTAGGGCCAAAGTTTCCAAAGTGGGTTGGGTGGAAGGAGAAATAAATAGAAGGAAATATCTGGAGACTGCAGGATCAGTGCTTTAGAAACATTTTGTTCCGTGAAGGAGCCCTGATTTTATAAACTTTGTTCCAATTAATGGGAAAACAAAAAAAAATAAAGAGACAAAAACCCCTAACTCACCAGGGTTTCCTAGAAATCAAAAATTCTGTTCCTTTTCCTCACTGGCAGTATTTCACTGCAATGTTAAGGAATCACAGAATTCCATAGATCATAATAAAACAACGAAACAGCTAATGGGGTTGTGATGAGCAGCTCATGGAGCAGCCTATTCTCTGTTTGACAATGTACCTTGTCTTAAAATGGGGGAACATAACAATACGATATACTTTGCTATATTTTTTTCATACAGCAAGGGTTTTTCATAAGCAATATATGTGCTTCGGATGTTTTGATAAACTTTCCCCAGGGAAGAAAATAAAGAGTGTAGAAAAACCCCAACTTTGATGGAACTGGAGAAATTGGCCTGATGAGTCTATTACTATTAAGAGAGAATCCCAGTTGGTGATGCTATACCAGAATTTTAATACATAACAGATTGATTGTTCTAAGGAGGATCAGGATCATTTTTTCTGTGAAACTGTGGGGAAGAATAAGGGGAAACCAGAAAGTGGTTAAGGAAAAATTAATTTAAGTTGGAACAGTGACAATCAAGATTGTATTTTCAGAAGCAGCTTTCTAACTGTTGGGGAAGCAATGATGAAGATGAGTCTATGGAGTGAAGTGTCTCCAGACTGAAATGTCTCCATGGAAGATTCTTTAGAAGAGCTTAACAAAATATCCAGGAGAACAATCTAAACATATGTTTCCCTGCTGAAGAGGTTGAGCTAAGCTAGTTTTTGGATCCCAGCATTTTAAAAAATGTGTGCTGTGCTTCCCATTCCATGCATAGAATGTATTAGCACTTCCAGTCCCATTTGATTGAATTTTAAAATGGAAGTGACTTTATTTTCTGAGCATCTGTTCTGGAGCTTGGCTCCTTTTCATTGCAAAGAACTGTCTGGAAATTGTTTCTTTAGGATTTTCCAAGGTGCAGAATATCTTTATATCCACAGGAGTACAAAAAAATTGCATAAAGATAATTTATCAGCTTACAGTTTGATGACCAGCCTTGACAAAAAATAGATGGCAGCATATGTACTGCTTTTTTGCATTGTGAGTGTATGTCTAGAAATCTTATAGTCTAATTGAGGCACATATGGTGCAAAAGCCTCCAAAATAAATTATCAGCAAGCATTGAAGCAAGTTTGTTTATCTTAAACTTGAGCCCTTCTTTCTGCTCCGTACTTCAACTAAACTGATATTACTTACTAATAAATCAGAGTATTCTATGGTCAAATCAAATAATTAAGGGAAACATATTCCTGTCAGAAAATCTTGACTCTGTCATTGTTCTGAACAAGATCCAGGCTTACTTAAAGCTTACAGAAAATTCCAGACTGAAGCGTGCCAATTGCTTGGAATTTTTTACTTCGGCTAATTTTCATTCTCCATTCCACTATTTTACCTTGAGTATTAAGATTTGCTTTCCTAAGCAAAAAGCATTGTTGAATTGATTGTATGGTTCCCTTTCCCCAGCACTGACAGTAGTACAAGAACATACAGTGTTACTTAAGGAGTCTGTTGGTTTTTTAAGAATTGGGATTCACAGTCTATGAGATACAATATAAAAATGTTTCTTTTTTTATTAGCCAATTTTAAAACATTCCACCTGAATAGTGGCTACTAGCCAGAAGAATTTCCTTTTGATTGGACCATGAGGTCAAAAGAATACAGAGTGCAAAGAAATTCAGATATCACTGTTAAAAACACCTGTCAGAATTCAGCACTTGACTGGATTAGATACAAAGATTATCTTGACTACGAAAAAGAATCACTGAGAAAATTATGGCTTTTCATGTGTTTGGAAATTTCATTTAAAACAACTGCAAAGTACTAATTAATGTGCTAATTTACTTACATAGTAATGTGGCTTTGGGTTGCAAGAGAGAGCCTGGGATGCCAAATATTTGCCCTGTTTCCAGCTGCTGTGCAGAACATTTGGCTTCCCTTAGACTGGCAGCAGCAATCTGTTGAGGTCTTCTATGAGAACGATTCTATAATGGATTTACTGATTTGTCTAAATCTGATGATTAATGTTTCCAAATACAGCCCATTTCACTTTCAGAAAGCATTATCTGTTTCACTACAATCTTGCTTTAGCTAGAGAACTATTTAGTGACCAGCAGTTGCTTTTTCGTGTGTGTCCAGACTTCAAATCTGTGGTCAGACAAGCATGTCCTGGAAGTACGATCAGACTTTCAAGGGTGCTCTAAGTTTCCCTTACTTTCTAAAATTCCTGTTGTTCCATCTTTTCACTCTTCCTTCAGTGTCACAAACCATGAAGAATACAAAGATCTACATTCTGCTTTTACACTTCGGCCAGACAGAATGTCTTTTATTTCGCTGTGTGTCTCTACTTCCTTTGGAACTCTTGCAATGAGCACCATAATGCGTTTCATCTAAAGAATCTACCACTTTGAAGGAATCTATATGAAAATTAATTTCTTTGCAATTGAAAATGGATATATGGGAAGTGTCTCCCTTACTGATTCACTGTCAGAGAGAGAAGACAGTCGCCTTTTTCCTTTCTGCAGCCCACTTATCTCAGAAGACTGGCTGGTTACAGTTGCTCGTCTGGAGGAGGGGTAACTGCTGAAAGACCGTGAGTGTTTAGGAGAAACTCTCAGCAGGCATCCAAGGCAAGGAACATATGTTGCAATGGCTGTTCTGATGGATGAGAGGTAGCACCAGTCAGATTTTTTCTGTTAGCACAAAAATTCAGTCATCATAAACAATGCATTTATTCAGAGAGATGAACTAATGCTGCAGGGACTGGAAAATTACTGGGTGCAAAAAGAGTTTTCCAGATATCCAATATCTCATACACAATCACCCTGCAAGATCACTTATTCACAGTGTTCTGCAGAACTCAAATTTATTGCTTGGCAGGGATAAGGGCATTAAAGTATAACTCTTCGAACTGAAGGGAGCTATTAAAGTGATGTTTTATCTGCTTTCAGCTTAATCAGGGTAAAAATAAAATTCTGTCCCTTTAAACTGAACCTTGCAGAAGTACCACATAATGAATTATTTTAATCTTCCCCTAAGCAGCTATTCTAGCTTCCTCTTACACATCTGTCTGCCAGCTATCTCTACAGTTGTACAAAAAGTGCAGTTATTTTACAGGATTGCTTTCCCCATATGCAGCATAAGGAAACTCTTTTACTCAGCTCTCCTCTTCCTCCCAGCCTTCCACATTTAAATGTTCATGACAACCTCTTCTCTGTCCAGTTCCCCAGTAGGTCTTTGTAAAGGGTGAAACAGCAGCACATATATAGCTTTGCTGCCATCCATCAGGTCTCACAGTCTGCATCTGAACTTGATATGATAATGACCCTAAATGTTGCAATTCAGAAGAAATACTATCTGAAATACGAAAGCTGGAAGAAAGGTGGAGAAGATGCACAAAATAGGGAAGAGGTGGATTACTGAATGGCTTCTCTCCCTGGCCTGATTAATGTAACAAGTTGCTATTTGCGACACTGACAAATGTCTGCATCCCTCATGAAGGTAGTTAAAAAATTAACGTTGCTTTCCTTTGAGGTGGGGAGGTCTCTATCTTTTATCATGTAATCTGTAAGTACAGTTTAGTATCCATAAACATCTCTTAACTCCCATCTGCATAGTAATTTGTTCCAAGTACAAATTCCACTGACATTTATATGCCATTGAGACGTTTTCTGTGGGAGGGCAGGGCTGTCTTGCAGAATTAAAATGAACCGGGGAAGCAGAGTCCAGGTACTAGTCCTAAAAGTGTTTGATTTTCTGTTTGATTTTCTTTGCTATGGTAAACATATTTTATAAGAGTGAACTTACCTGTATTTTGGGTGAGTAATAGCATAAATGATGGGGTTATGGATGACAGAAGCTTTGGCAATCACAGCTGGTATGGAGTTCATGAAGGGTGTTAGGACATGGGAATACCTAGAGCAATACAAATGCATCCTGTATTTAGTATTGAATTCTAAGTAGTCTATGCAGTTATACACTGACAACACAATGCTTTATTAGTGCTTCAAAGAGACTAAAAGGAAATTCTGTACCCAAATAGTGACAGAACAAATTTTACACTCTTTGACTGTAAAGATCAACATCTGTCTAATTGCATTTCTGAGAAACATGATTTTCTTGGGCCTTCTCTTGCAGCACTTCACTACAGTGTCTCAGGGTGGTGGTGATTTCCATGTTGTTAACTATAGTCTGGTGTCAAGCTATGTACAGATAATGTAATAATAGCATCGTTTTTTGCTGAAATTACTATATAAAATGCTGACACTTAAATAGATCAAGAACATGCTTAGGTGATTTATATTTATGATCTTTTATATCCAGCATCAAAAAGCTCCCCAATGCAATTATGTACTAATTTTGAACTTGCTTATACATGTAAGGAATTTTAGCGTTTTGGTATAACAAAAGAAAATGAATAGACTTTCGTAAATAAAAGAAGTGGAGAAAGAAAAGAGAATCAGCCCGCAGGTGGGTCTTTTTGGGTCCCTCATGGAGCATTTTGGTGCTAAATAAAAGTTCAGATAGTTTGAATATCCTAGCCTAGGGAATCCACATTCAGAAATCATCAGCACAGTAATGTTATATAGCCAGTAATAATCTTCCTGTGTTTTTTCTCTTTTTTTTAAACTTTTTTTTTCAACTTTTTTTTTCCTAAGTAAAACGAAGAAAAAATCAGTCAGCATATGCCATTGTTAAATGTCACTCCTAAATATGTGAATGTTTTGGATGCCCTTCAGGCATTAAACTTGACAGGTAGCTTTGACTTTCATCTGTCTTTTACAATTTCACACCTTTTGCTTTCACTGAATATTCCTTTGCTGATACATTCATAATTACCCAGCAAAAGCTACCAGAGCAACAACAGAGTATGGTGACCAGGAAATGACATAAAGCAAGATGACAATCAATGCAATTTTGGCCATCTTCCACTCATTTTTCATCCTCTGATACTGTTTCTGGAACTCTTTATTTCCATGTTTGCTTCCAAATGTTTGAATAGACCTACAGGAAATAAACATACATCAGTGACAAAAGGAGGTAGGGAATTGAGCAAGTAGCTTCATAAAATGTAACAACAATTACTCCTATGCTAGTTTATGCTAAAAGTCATGCACTTTTAGTGTGTATTAATGGATGTATGTGACCAGTCGTTCGGAATTCAATGCATTTCAGTTGCACTAATCAATGATAGAATTCACATGTGCCTCAGTGAAGAAAATAGTCCTGTACCAGAAGAATTTCCACATGAATCAGGTATTCAAGCCTATTGGGCCTAGGTATATTAAATATAGTTCGAGAAGTTTTTGCTTCCCTAGGTCTGATTTTGCTGCCTTGCTCTCACTCTGTATTTCAGAGCTGTGTGATTAGGTATGCTGATATCTACAGGGCAGATATCTACAGATGAGAAATGTAGTGGCAGACATTGGCCTTTATTTGTACAACAATAGCTTTTATTTCAGAGACCTGTCATTAACGGATTTACCTCTTTTTCACGCTTTGTCAAACATGGAATTTGTGGTTCAATTCTGTCTATTTTTCTGTGGAATAGTTGTTGATACACTGTTGTAAGGTGTCTCTGATGTCCCTTTAGTACTTCTTTTGTATGGTTAATTTCTGTAGTCCTTTCTCATCTTTCAGATTTCTACTGCTGCTACTCTTTTCAGCAATATTAGACAAGTTACTGAACAGCTCTGGCTGTTCAGGAATGGCCTTTCTAAGGATCATACATACTTCTTACCATGTTGACTATTGACAGAATTCCTGTTTGGTTTCCTAAGTTGTGCATACAAATTTCAAGTGAAAAACTTCCCAATTTTCTTCTGTTAGTCTTTGTTTTAAGAAATTAAGCAGTTATTGAAAAAGAAGGATAAAAACTTAAGACTGTTGGCTACTTACTTGTTGGCCTTCTTGATAGCCTCAAATATAAAGACATAGCTGTATATGATAGCAATCAAAGGAATGAAAAAGACAAAGCAGAAAAGCAACATTGTGTAGGCGCGGACTGATGGTGTGAAAGTCATGTAGTCCCAGGAACAGGAAGTCAGCAGACCCTCGGGAACGTATGCACCTAGGAAGAAAGACAGGAGAAGGCATAAGACATGAAATTATTCTTATTCTAAATGCAGAAGTTAGAAAATGATACTCAGAATAACATGGGATTTAGGCCTGTTCTATTAGAGGGGAAGAGATTTTAAAAGGATACATGAATCTTTGTTCAAAGCACCTCTTTTTTTCGTTTAGTGTGTTGCCCTATTTTATTTATGCTTAGCAGTCTAAGGCTTCATTTTGAAAAACTAAGTAATTTTGTTTCAGTTCTTGAATATTGTTTAAAGCCCAACGTAGTGAAAGGGCATCTCTCCAAATGCTTCAGTGGTTCTTGGATCAGACTAGTGTTGGTTTTAAATATCTCCATTTCCTGTCAAATTGCTATCTTCCCAAGGAGTGAAATGAAGCTGATTGCTGTAGCTACTGCTTTTTTAAGACTGTGCAAATAAGAGAAATTTACTGTGCAAAGGAGATTTTTTGTGCAGATCAAATTAATTTTGTTGTGAAGTAAAGTTGAGTACAAGTACATACATACATACACAGTATTCTGCCTGACATAAAATATAATCTGCTTAAGGGAATTGTGTCAAACTGTTCAGTGAAGAAATTGTCAACAGCAATGTCTTTTTATGTTTGTATTTTAATTTGCACTATTTCCAGTGATATTTTCTGTTGAACTCCTAAAAATATTGCACCAGATGTGCTCATATGCATCTAATTACCATATGAGATTTAGTATTGTGGATACTATTAGAATCTAATTACAAGATAACAACACCCTTCAAGCAATTATTCCACTTTCTCCAATTAAGAATCTAGAATGTAAGACTATAATGTCATTTTGTTGCTCTGACAGCTCCTCATTCAACTAAAGGCTGCTTCTCCCAGTATTGCAGTTTTCCTGTTTAAACATGCTTCATGTTTGTGGGGGACCAGGATGACAATAACAAGACAGTAACAAAAATCTGCTTAAATTGTACTCAGTAGCTGAGTTGGTTTCAGCATCCTTTGGGAAAACAAAATACTGTGATATTCGCACCTCAGCTGAGCTGACACATTCTCTTCTGGAATTAGGGAGCACAATAATGGGCTGGGGTTTTGAATGATGAGTTCATTCTAACTTACTGACTGAAACTGGTGACTCACAGGAATTGAATTAATGGTAGTGAGGCACATTCTATTATTACAGAAACTCTTTCTTACAAGTTGCAAGGATCAAGATGCTGTACGTGTGTTCCAATTTTCAGGTATAAAATTGACATTTACAATAGCAAATTACTTAGTTATTACTAAATGCCATCCTTATTGGAAGCCTTAGTGAAGATATCAATGGAGAATGTGACCCACACCCAGTGCAATTTGCCCATCTAGAAGAATCAAGACCTATTGAAGATGTACTTGCACAAAATACTCAGACTATAGTCCTTTTTTATATTAATAGAATAATTTAGATTGACAGAACAATCTTACACAGCACCTTTGGGGTGGAAAAAGTGATCAAAAAAAAGAAAAATACATTTATTTCACTTTTATATTGTTGAATTTGGCTCAACAGAAGTAGGTATGGGAAAATAAGCAGGCACATCCTTCATAAATTTTGGCCTAGATTTTATCTACTGTTCTTTATTCAGTAAGTAATAAGCATATGGAAAAGTGCCATTATCATGTAATATACTGTAATACACACCGGATTTTTTTTATTTTGATTAGAGATCGTCAGTTGCAGCATGTATTTTATCAGTTTTCTTCAAATGGATTTATTCACACCTAATATGCAAGCCATTATGGTTGGACTCGATGATCCCAAGGATCTTTTCCAACCTAAATGATTCTATGGTTCTATGATTAATTCAGCCCTCTTCTATAGCTGTAACTGGCCTTTAATCCAATGCTATGAGGGAAAAAAACTTCTATTCCATTTTACTTACTCCATCCAAAGAAGGGCGGGAGGCTCCAAGCCAAAGAGTACAGCCAGACTCCTACTAGGATTATTAGGGCCTTCTTCTTAGACGTCACTCCAACAGAAGCCAGAGGTTTTGTGATGACAAAATATCTGTCCAAGGCAATCACCATCAAAGTGATCATAGATGTAATGCCAAAAAGAGCTCCGCAGAAGGCATACAGCTCACAGCCTTTCAATGAAGATGACAGAAGTTGCAGTGAAATTAACCTACCCATGCTAATTAATTTCTGGGAGAGTTCAAGTCTGTGTTTCTTGTGAACTAATGTCTTCTGGAATTCATAAAGCAATGGAACTTTAGTTTTCCAGCAGCTGTAATGCTATATCAAAGCTGCTGTCTGTCTTGCTAATTACATTATCCATGGAGATAAACTTCAAAGATTTTGTTTGCTTGAATTGCTGGAAACAGTGATACTTAACATATTTTCACCCATTGATTTCTCATGTTTCTAGTGGAATCATTTCAACAGTCCATTAATATCTTGTTTAACTCCAGTTTTAGTGCAGCTCATGTAGAAACAGCTGTTTTGTTAACAATGGGTTATAGCTACTTTGATATCATGGAACCATTTATATCTCAAGGTCAGCATAACTGAAGTAAATATGCAGACTATGCATATATTAATGAGTGATTTTAAATATTCAAACAACCTAGTGATTAAAAGCAGGGGTTTGGGTTTTGTTGTTTGGTTGGTTGGTTTGGTTTTGGTTTATATTAACATGTATGCAATTGAACACTCAAAATCCCCCATGCTTTTGGTCATCAAAATAGCAACATTACTTCTCTTTAGAAAGAATATATACAAACCTTTCTCACCAAAAATCCAATGTTTGTGGAGGCTGTTGGTGAAAAAAACTGGAGATTGCGTAATGGACATCAGGAAGTCACTAATAGCTAGATTGATGATGAATACGTTGGCTGGAGTCTGAAGGCTCCTACTCCTACAAAGATCAGAAGGAATGTTGCTGAACACTGCTGCACCGTTAATTATGTTGTTAGTCTTTCCTGTGAGCCTTGGCAGCTTCACAAATACCCAGGCACACTACGTAGCTAGAGCAGAGTGCTACTCATTTCCCTCATGAGAGAACATTAAGCAAGGCTCAGCTTTACACCCTTGTACTCCTGTGCACTTTAGAGGATTGTTTTGAAAACCATCTCAGTGATGGGGATAAATCATGTTGTTCTTTAAGTATTCTGACCCAGTGCACTGCATGTCCATGATTAACAGGAAATTAAAGTTGATGTACTCTATGGATTTGCTGAATCTGGGTCGTGTTAAGCAGGGGGAGGGCAGCGCATTTTCCAGTGCTGATAAGATCAACAGTGACTCCCAAATACAGGGATTAAGCAAACCCACTATGTACCACATCAAGCATTTTGTTTGACATCAGGTCTTCTCTATGACACTCATTTCACTGGCCCAGACACTGACTTTAAAGAGGGCGATAGCCAGCCTTCAGTGCATCCTGCCTGTATATGTTATTCATAGTATTACAGTGCACTGTTTTAAGGGGTAAACATAAAAGCTCAAGTGAGAGCTCCTCAGTCTCTTGGTGCATTTTACTATGTCTGCATAGTATTCTGATAGCATGCCTGTGCTGCATTTGCAGAGCACAGTCAAGGTACTGTTAAAGTTCCTAAATTTGAGTATTTAAAAAACATTCAAAAGAAAGATACCTGCAGAAAGCATAGATGACCAGGAAATTACCCAGAGTTCCTGTGATTCCCACTATAAGAATGACTGCTCCAATTGTGTAATGGGCATGGTCTGGGACATCCACTGTAGGAAAGGCACCAGGAACATCTTGCAGTGTCATTTTCTGTGGAGTAAACAAGAGGTCATAGGTATATTGCCAGACTTTACTGAATAAGATGGCATGTGCTTCTCTAGAAGAGGAAATGGTCAAGAATGCAGAAAGACAGCAAACAAAAGAAGTCAGAATAAGCTAATTGCTTTCATATTACACTTAGTGTTGATCATCTTCAGGGAATAAATATGCCATCAGCAACACAAAGGTCAAAGGGTAGTTTTTATGTTTACTGTTGATTTAGAATTTTGGTGAAGAAAAGCAATCTGTTCTCTTCCAAAAGAAAGACAAGGATATAGAGGAGAAAGAGAAAGACACAAAGGGACCCTTTTCATTGCATGTGACATCAAGTAATGCAGTATTTAACAAGTAAGTTTTCTGTAGTTTTCATTTCAGGAAAGGTTCTGTACCTGTGAAGTATGCTTTCTGTTGTTGTCTGACATCAGTAGCTAGACTTCTCTAAGTAGAAATTATCTTCTCTGGATAAACATATATTTATTCCTTTAGAAGTATGGCTATTTCATTTCTCCCACTAAATAACACTGAATTGCAAGCTGCCCTCAAGGTTACCAAAAGCCTAGCAGCATTGAACAGGAGTCTTTTGGAAACTAAATTAGGGATCAGAAAAACTGGAACACAAATCCCTTATACCTTATGCCCGGTTTCCATACCAGTTCTGTTTTTGCTCTGCACTGAATTTTTGCTCTCCGTGAAGTGATAAAGCACTTGATGAAAGCAACTAATAACTCATAGCAAAATTCAATAGCCAAGTCTGAAGACTATATCAGGAGCCACGAATGTATTTTAGGCCAACTGACCCCAGATTAGTAATGAAGCAAACAATTAGGCTGCACCCAGGAAGCAGAATGACCTGGTAGGAATTGAAGGGGAGAGAAGAACAGTTGTCCAAAGTATGACTGTTCTGCTGCCTTTTGATATAAGGTCAGGCAAGGAGATTTAAACACTCACCTCTGTGCAACTGCCACTGTCCTAAACGTGTCTTGGCATCAGCTCCAACCAGCTAATGGAGTCATGAAAAATACCAAGTCTTGTCCTTATTCATCTGCATGGACAGATGCTGTCTCTTCTTCATAGCCAGGCTTTTCTCGTCAAGGGTAGCACTCATTCTGGAATGGCATGCCATGACCACTGCCGTAGCTCAAGCCTGGCTGCTGCAGCCATGGCATTCCTCAGCTACTGAGTAAGCTACAAGAATCATACCAGGGTTGAGAAGAACCCAGGAAATATTTTGAATCGTTTGTAGCCTGCCTATGGTAAATACTGTCAATTTGGCTGTGGCCTAAGATCCAGGACAAGGGAATTGCCTGTACCAAGGTCTGTGCCTGTACCAAGCTTAAATAGTGCTGTGAGGTTGGGTATGTTCTTTCCAATCACAAGTACTGGCAGTTGGTGGTACAGCTGTCACATGCAGTCATTCCTTCCCAGGAAAAGGAATGTTGCCGATAGGAAAGGAGGAAACTGCGCAGAGGTAGATATGAAGTGCTCCCTTTTTTGCTACAGTTGTGTTCGTAGTTGGTATTCACCGTTAGAGTGAAACTCAGAAATGCCTTTGAAAACACCCCAGTTATCAAAGGAAATGGATATTTTCAGACAGTAGAGGCAGATGTTACTTCTGAATACATCTGTGAGATTGGGCTGAAGTTATTAGAGACAGTGTGTATTTAAAACCAATGTGCCAGTAGCAAGAGGTGAACCCCAGGAGTGTCTGGAGTTCTGGAAGAGATTGTCCTTGCTTGTGTGCTGAAGATCTGCCTGCAGCAATCTTCAACAACTAGAGTGCACTCCCTGGGTTGCTACATTAGCGGCAATGAAGTGCTGGACAATAATCTGATTTTTGAGAGAGAAAATGTAGCTCTGGCTGTTCCTTTAATTGGAGCAAAATGTTAAGGCTGATACACTAACTGAATGACAGTATCATGGCATTTATTGTTCAGATTCCTGCAGCAAAGTGTTAGCTGACATTGCATCATCATCATCAATGGGCACCTTGCCAGGTAGAAATTGCTGTGCTTCACACACTGCCAGTAAAATAACAACAAAAAAACCCCAAACCCCGATACTAATAGCAAATGGCGAGGGAGTGTCTAAGATAAAACTGTTTTAAATAAATGGGATCAGGTGGTCTTTAGTTTGGGATATTTTCTCCTTAGCCTTGTGGCTAGAACATTTTTTAGCTGCTGTTCTACAGACAATTAATGACTATTGTTAATGGAATGGAGATTTCTGATGTTTTTCCCTGTAGCTATCCACTTAATCAGAGCTAGATCAAGGTAACAGAAATGAAGCAACTGAAGGAGCTTGTTTTGGCTACAAAGAACAGATTAGAAAGGCTTTAATTTGAAGAAAATTTGTGGAGGACTGAGGACAAGGAAAAATTTAAAAGATAAACAGAAATACACAGAGAAACCACAAGAGAGGAAACATTATTTAAGGGACAGTAGGAGACTTTTAAATGACTTATTCAGAAATGAAGCAAGTTCAGAGTCAATAACAATGTCAAATGTGAAAAAAATAAAGGAGCAGCAATAGGACATAAATAATTCTAAGTATAGGGACAAAAAAAAAAAAAAGGTCTGTGGCAAAGATGAATAAATTCACATTTTAGCATGGACTTCCTGTAACCCTGAGATTTTTACTACAGGGTCCAACTCTGGCTGTTCTCCAAGAGGAAAAAGTGAACTATTAAAAGAAGTCATTTCATTGTTTTTATTGGAAATAGAGATCTGATTCAAAGCTTCTTTAAGTCAAAGAAAGCTACTAGTTGACCAATCAGGCCTAAGCACTTAAAATTCATCACTAAGTTGCATACATACAGCTTCCTTACTAGAAGATGAAAACCTGTGCCTATATCAAGTTCAGCTCTAGATCTTCTACAGGAATTGTACATCAAAAGAAATGTCAGAGAGAAAAAGACAGTGTTGAAGAAATCAGGTCAGCAGGATAATCAAGAAATCAGACAATTCCCAAAGCTGTTCTCTACTCAGTTTCTCCAGCCTTGTTTAGTATCTGTCTTCTGTTGTCACCCCATGGTATGTGTCCTTGGTTGGCAAGGGAGAATAAAAATCCCACTGTTGCAATCCCCACTGTAGCAACTGTCCTTTGAGATTTCTCTGAAGAACTATTTCAGCTGCATTGGTAATACATAGCCCTGTTGCCTTGCATGTTTTTCTGTTTAGCCTTCTCTCTATAACCACCTTGTAATGAAGATAAGAAAAATGAACAGGCTAAACCAGCACTTCATTATTTCTCTTCCAAGTGATAAGATAACACATCTTATTTAATGTAACATGGTTCAAAACATCACCAGATAGACAAAGAATCTGAACTGGAAGGTAAAAGGTTCGACATTTTCCAATCTATGGACAATAGACTACAGCTTTCTTGAGTCAACATGTAAAAAATGCTTGCACCTGAGGTTCTGGACCACTGGGTGCCAGTGTACCCAGAGACCAACCGTGCTGTGGGTGGCTTAGATTGGTATTAATTCTGTAGGAAACAATTTGTACCAACTTCCTGACAGTCAATATAAATATTGCACATTTCTCAAGCAAGCAAACAAAATGGCCACAGAAGCTGTGGAGGACAACAAGGCAGTAACTGTAATGTAAGAGAATAGAGAATTTCTTCACAGTAAGCACTGAAAGTCAGTTGGAGAACATATCACTGGCCAAGGATGGCATTTCGGTCAACCTTAAAAGCAGGTTTTACAATATCGCCTTTTGCTAGAACTGTAAAAGAATTAGTGTTTTTAATCTCTGGTAGGCATGCCATTATTTATTATTTATTTACACTATAGTTTTGCAGAATCAGATGGATAGTTTTTGTGTGGTAAGGAATGTGGGAAGTGCCACACTGATTCAGGCCACCATTGCTAACAAAGCACTAGCCAGACTTGAACCATGACCGGGTGTTTCACAAAGCTGTGAAACATGCATAATGAACAGCATTGTGAGAATTTCATTTTCAGTATAGAGTCTTAGCAGTTGATTTGTACCCTAAAATAGCATTATTATCCCTTTGAAAGGATAATCTCAGTGGAAGATATTTTTATTCTCCATATATAGGTGTAATCCTTTTCTAAATCCTGCTCTGTCATTTGTCTCAATAGAGTCAGTGTCAAGAAGTTATGTAGTTGTTTTCCATTAGTGTATTTCCTTCCAGCAGGTTTAAGTGTGTCCTTGTGGACACACTAGAACAGAGGGAAGCAGCCAGGTTTAATGTAGTCTGCCTTCTTAAAATGCTCATTGTTCTCCCTAAAGAAATGTTCATCTACCACCAACAACAAACCAGCTAAACCAGAACTGACCACGTTTTCACGGTTCACCAGTTATCATTCAGTAAAATGAACTGAGACTTAGGAACTTATGATGCTTTTTGGGAGTTCGAAGAAAAGGAAATATTTGATAAATATGTCTAAATCTTTGCTGTTCTGGCCTTGTCTGTGGAGGCTGCAGCACGACATGGAGCCTTGTTATTTCACCATGTAGTTTGTCAAGACCCAGCTAGACCCTGGTCTGAAGAGAGTTGAAAGGATAAAGGAATTCCTTTGCAGTCCAGGACAAAACCATGATTCCTAAGTGATTTTCCCAGGTTAGAAGGAAGTCTAGATCAGGTATAAACCCCAGAAATATTTGATGCCTGCACCTATTCTGTCTTGGGAATCTATTTACATGTTTTCCTGAAGAGATTTTCTAAATAGTTATTTCATAATAGATTTAAAAAACAAACAACCAACCAAACCAGGTCACCTCTGAATAACTTTTAGTAGAAGACATATCAATTTTGAAATTCCAACCCTCTTCCGCCCCCCATAGCATGAGAAAAATATTTGTGTATAAGTGAAAAAATTGCAACATGCAAAGAATACAGTTTAACTATTGTTAGGAGAAAAAAAAATCTGTTCTTTTTTGGAGTAAGAAAAAAAATCATATCACCTAATTACAGCTCACTTGGAGACATTGATTACTGAAACCCTACTAAAGCTACCAGTGATGATGGCAGGAGCAAGGCCATGAATGTAAATACTTGTACTGAATAAGTCATACCTGATATAGGCCACTCCTCCCATTCTCCCAATGGCAAAAGTATAAAGCAAGGTTTAGTTTATACTTACAGGGAAAGGAGAAATCCTCATAAGGTATTTGAGGATTTGAACATATTTCAATGCTGGTCCTGATTTGTTTATTTATTTGTTTGTGTAACACTGTTTCAAAAGCCAGAAAAGACTAGGAGGACGTTTTTCAGCTGCTTCTGCCTGGACATCAGATGGATTATATCTAATTTGGTGTAAAACAAAGCAAAACAAGAAAGGGAAATAGGGATTGCCATGTCATTGCTTTTATGAATTCATCTGTCTTCAAACTGTAGGCAGTGGTTTTGCAGAATGAATGTTTTAATAGAATAGAGCCCAGTTCTAAAACATCACCAGTTTTGGCAGTCCCACGTTGACTTTGGCAATGTGTCAGTTTTCTTTGCTCTTAATTTTCTTACAAATAGGGGTAATGAAACCACTTATTTACACAGTGGGACTTACACAACGAATGGTAGTGTTAGGCCTTTTACATGACAACAAATCATGTAGTCTAGAAAAATTTTCAGAACAGAAACACTGTAATTTTGTAGGGTTTCTAGGTGCAGTGTTTGTACTGCCTACCTGCAAGAGGCCTCAAACAACTGACAGCACTTATTTTTCTTCACAGTTCCTTGCTCTGATGTCTGAGCTTGCCTCTGTAGGCACTTGCTCTGTGATGACAGACAGCACAAAGAGGAGTGTAATCCCACCTCAACTATGGTTTCAGCAGGGTGACGCCTACTGTTAAGCCCTCTTTCCAGTAGACAGCAGGGCTGGCTTTTCATAGATGAAATTTGTCCTGGTGAGCAATTTGGATAGCAGATTTTGTATCCTATCTTCCGGATTTAATCTCAACCACAAGCAGCACATATTGCTTTCAGTCCTGAAACTTTTTTAAACCAATCTTAGTGTCAAATTAAAATGCAAAAGTTTGAAAGTACAGTCACTTGACCTAGGGAGAGGAAATGAACAGCTAATTACATCTTTCAGCAGAATAAGGAGAAAATCCATTTTTAATTTTCTGATGTAAATCACTCTGTCCCCAGATTCCTTTTCCATTTTGCCATGTGCTCTCCAGCCCTTCTTCTCCCTCCCTGCTATGTTCTGCTATCCTCTTTCATATGTTATCCAGCTAATTGAGTCTTTAAGCTCCTTGGCTCAGGCCACTTCCTGTTTATTTTTCTGTAACACACTGCACACATTCAGGTTTTACTAAAAAAATAAATAAACAAACTGCATTATTACTATACAAGCAATAAAATATTTACTGGTCCTTCATTATAAATTAGGGTCAAACTGAAACACCCAATCCAACATCCTATATGCATAAAAACTTTTGGAGTGTTTGAAACTTGCACACAATTTTTAAGTGTCCACTTTGTTATGTGGGCTATGCCAAAATACCTGGTATGACCACATTAAGATTTTAAGTTGTATTTCAAATTTTAAAAGCTTGAAAAATTAGTTTGGGTCACTTTATTCTTTACTTTTAAACAATCTTTTATATAAACAGCAGGCAAACAAAACTTTTCTGATATGCACAACCAGGAAGAAGACTTCTGAACTCCTTTGGTTTGGGCTTGTGAGGTGGGATAGAGAATACTTTTAGTGAGTCCAAAGAAATTCCATCCCAAAGTCTCATCACAACAGATTCTCACCTTCACACTTCTAAGGAAATTTTCTGTCTGTTTAGTACTTAACAACTGAGAAAGAGCTTTGATAGAACTCACCTGGGAAAACCTTCTGAACAGCTGTCTTGGGTAACTGCAAGTAACAACTCTTCAACTCCATGGCACTTACACACTGTTACAGAAATGATGGGCATTTCCATCTTGAATAATGACACAACAAAGCATTGTGTTTGAACTGCTAAACAGCTGTTTAATGCACAAAAACACGTTGCTTTGTAGTTTGCAACATATTTGTTGTACTTTGCCATTAGACATTCCTCCCTGTCTGTCCAGCCCATGTAACTGCTGAAAAACACTGCTTCTACAGTCTTTTCTGCCATAAATAAATAAAGGAATAAAAAGATTTTAAAGTTTTCTCTATGTTGTTCATTCTTGCACTACAGCATTAAATGTGTACATGCATCTTAAATGTCATTTTTACAGTCCTATAAATGCCAGCAGAACTACTTGCTACAGTTTTTAGTGACAGAAAACACTTACTGTTGGGGCTCTAAGAGACAGGTCCATCAATGTGTAGGTATTGGCTCCCGAGTCATTCCATGCATTGAAGGACTCCACAGTTTTGGTACCGTTGGGGGGTCTTCAGAGGGACAAGAGATCCCCCTTTGAATGGGCTGATTATTCAGGTGAACAAAATCTAAACAAAATAAAAAAAAAAGAAAGAAAAGCTCTCCTCTGTGTTTAAGTCAGCCAATTTACCTTTTTTTGTGTGTGTAAAGAAGTTTGTTAGATTCTCTGGAATATTGTGGGATCCAGTGCAGAGTTTCTCACTTGAGCTTCAGATTGCTTCATTCCATCTTCAGCTTAGCAAAGGGCAGCGGTGGCGGCTTCCATTTAAATACAGGAGACAGCAGGGGCTGCACATGCCCAGTTTGAAGCTTGTTCCATCCAGATTCCAGCTTCACTTTAATGACAGTATAAAATCTGACGCTTACTTCAAAGTGCTGTTATCTTTTTTTGCCTTTGACAGATTTATGTCTGAATTTTAATGCTATATCCACATTATCCCTGTATAGATAATGAAGTTAAAAGGTTGACTTCAGTATCTGTCTTTAATATTAGACGTTACTGTTCATTTTCACTGTGCTGGTGAATTAGTTTTTTCTAGTCTGCTTTTAATGAAGATGTATATGTACAGTTCTGCTGAAATTGTCCAAACTCAAATAGATTCTGATATTTAACAATGTGCTTGCGCGCACTTCTGTCTTGTAGAATTTAGGTCATGGTTATTTGTTGGTCCACTTCTAAAAATAAACAAAAAATAGGGATAAAACCCACTGACATCATCCTTTTCTGCTCTTCAGTTAAAAAAAGGCACACAAATACCTTAGGCAGAGAACAGCAAATAACCACTCATTTCAGGAGTTGTCTGCTTCCTTTTTCAGTTGTATTTAGTTAGGGTGTAAGTTGCAGATTCACATTCATCTTTCCTTTACGTTGCAGTATGCAAAGAGATATGAATTGCCATATTCCCAGCTGAAGGCTGGTTTTCACTACAGTAAAGTGAAGTTTAATTGCAATAGAGAATTAGGCACAGAGTGTGAAAAAGCTGTTCTAGCAGATACCGCAGCCTGAATATCACAGAATTTAGGCCTTCCACCCACCATCAAAATTACCCTAATGCAAGCTATTAGCTTCATTGCCGTTCGTAATAAAAATAGATGGTGTGAGCGGAAAGCCTTTGTGAGAAGGCTGTAATAGTAATGGTGGGAGTTGTATTCCCTCAGCTTAGTGCAGATTCCCTTCTTCAGGAACCTGTCCTTAAATTAGCTCTCACAGTACCTAACCTTGAATTGAGGGAAAAGGGACCACATTTCTTTGCATGAACAGAAGCTGTGCCTCTATATCAAAAGCACCCACCTATAGTGCTGCAGGTTCCTTTTCCTTGATGGTCATTTAAGCAAGGTAGCTTTTACCTTGTGTCACCAGGCCATTGAACGTTAACCAGCGTAGACATTTCTTAGACTCTACAGGCTCTCAAACTATGAGACCTTAAAAATCATTATTAGCAGACCTGTTGTGAAAGGCAATGAGATTTCATTGTGTATCCCTGCTGTGCAGTGTTAGGTAGACACAACCAAGTCAGATTTAAACTAGCTGTGGCAGAACTGAGCTCAGAGGTGGCTAATCACCTGATAATTTTCAAATTCGTCAATGTCTTAGATTCTATGGTCATTTTCTAGGGTGTGCTCCTCCCTTCTCTATGTGTGATATCAGACACATAAATATCGCGACAATGGTGGATGTGGCATTAACTTCAAAAGACATTGATGTGAAGCCCAAATCCATCACTCTGTGTTCCTGCATACACGGTGCTTGCACGCAGCACACTGTAGGTATGAGGCAACAAATCAGTGTTAGACATTTTGAGGGACAGGACCTTTTTGGAAGAAAACTTTGCATTTTACTACTCAAAAGGCAGGAGATACCATGTCCAACAGAAAAGTTCTCATATGATACAGTTGTCTGATCC